TCGAACTTCGAACCTTTCTTGAACTCAAGCCAAAGTCCGGTTCGAGTTCGGTTCGAATTTCGAACCGAACTCGAACTTGGGCAAAAGTCCGGTTCAGTTCGGTTCATAGGAACACTAGTCATTATTTAATTAATTGGGTACTAAATTGATTATATCAACAACTTTTCATTCATAAACTAATAATCAAATTGAAAAATTAAATAGAACTTTAAAAGAAATACTTAGAATTTTTATTGCATACAAACAAAATAACTGGGATGACTGTCTAGCTACTGCAGAATTTGCTTATAATAATAAACAAGCATCCACTCAACATATTTTATTGAATTAAATTATAAACAATTATCTTATATATTCATCATTATTAACACTAATAATAAAGTAACAGTCTCTCAAGAATTCTTGAAATACCGGAATACTATAATAAAAATAGCAAAAAATGTATTAATAAAAGCTCAAAATAGATAACAAAAATATGCAAATCAATATTGCAAATTTGAAAAATTTAAAATTGATCAAAAAGTTCTTTTATCAACTTGCTTTATTAATATATTTATTAATATATTTATTAATAAATAATAATCAACAAGAAAGTTAAATACTAAATATATTGGATCATTCAATATAATTAATAAAATTTTATCAATTGTATACAAATTAGAACTTTCAAACAACATAAAAATACATCTAGTTTTTCATATTTCACTATTAAAGTTATATAATGAAGATGATAAATTTGATAGACCAACATTAGCACTAGCTATTATTATATTAAATGATAATAAAGAATATAAAGTTAAAATTATTCTAAAAATGATTGTCAAAATAATATCATCTAATTAAATAATTTATCAAAATTAACTTGCTAAAATTAAATTCAAAATTATTTTAACTTATTTTATTAGTAGTCAAAATTGTTTTCTGAAATTATTTGAATTCTACAAATTAAAACAAGCATTTCTAGATGATTTTTAAGTATTAATTAATATAAGCAACATAACAAAACTAAATTATTTGCTGAAATATTATTTTTTCTAAAAATAATTTAGGAAACCATCTTTAAAATATTCTAGATAAGTGTATAGTAAGAAAATAACTACAATATCTTATAAAATAAGCTGGATATTTTTTATATAATTCTACTTGAAAATCTTTGAATAATATCAAAAATGCAATAAAAAAAGTTAAAGCTTTTGAAAAAGCGTATTCTTAATACAATTTGAATATTATTTTTTAAGAGAGAGAGAGTAATTGTAACAATTTTTAATATACTCTTGTATCATATTCATCATTTTCAGTGTTATATTTATTATTTTTTGTATAACATATAAGAAATTAATACAAATCTACATTAATACTTCTTAATATTTTGCCAAATAGATTAAATGTAAAATATAGATCACATTATTAATTTAGATACACTTTGTTTTAATTTCTTTTATTTTTATTTATTTTTTTATTTTATATTCATTATTTTTAATTTTGTATTAATCTTTTATTATTATTTATATTTTATATATATTTAATTAAATATAGCATAACTTGAAAATGTGTCATCTTTAAAATTAATAATTTAGAACCAATTATTCTCTATTTTATTATTAATTTATTTGTAATTTGTTAAATATCAATTATATATTTAAATGTCTTTGTCTGTACTATATCTTTTCATTATTTAATAAATAAAAAATAAGCTTTATTAAAATTAAAACTGAAAACTATCTCAATTGATATAATTTATTTATAATAATTAATAAATTTATCTTAATATTACTCATATAAGAAAGTATTCTTACAATTTATCTTTTATTAATTTTTCAACATGTATTTCTTATCAAAAATATAGTAATATTATTTTTATCCAATAGTAATAATTCATATTTTTATTCAATTATTTTTTATTTTATTATATTATTTTAATCTATATTTTATTATTATTTAATTATATCAATTAATTTTATATTAATTTATATTCTAAATCTTATTGGTACTTTAATTTTATCTCTTGTTATATCAATTTAATTAGTGACATATAGATTTTACACAAATATCTTTCTAATATTATATAATAATTATTATATTTCAACATGTTATAGATTTATATTTTTATTAATTTCTCTTTATAATTTATATAAATAATATAAATCAGCGTAACTTAAATTCACTATATATATAAAATATGAAATTGACTTGAAATAAACTAAGAAGATTATGTCCTGATTTTAATTTTTGTCTTGTCTTTTTATTTTTGTTTTTTTTGTTTGTTTTATTTTTGTTTGTTTTATTTTTTTGTTTTTTTATTATTTTTCTTTGTCTTCTTTTTGTTTATCTTTGTTTTACTTTTGTTCATTTTCAATTATCATTACATCATTTTTTATCTTTTATAATATACTTTTAACTTTAATTTATAGTATATACTTAGTCTTAGTATTATTTTATTATCACTTAAATATATTTAATATTTATTTCATATCTATATTCTTGTTAATTTTTTATTATCAACTATCCATTATTATCAATTATATCTTTCTGATTTAAAATTTGCTGTGAATATAGTTACTATTAATCATTTCTAAATTTTCTCATATATAAGAACTAAAAATAGTAACAATATAAGAAAAAGTTTGAAAAAGTATTAGAGTTATACAAAAAAAAATAAATAATGATAACTTTGTAACAAATTTTAATATCTTGATGAAACTCTTCATAAAGATCATTTGTGAATGTGAAAAGACTTTGCAAGCTTATAAATAGCAGAATACTCAAAAATTAATAAACAGCAAAATCACCTTTTGATTGTGTTAATTCTAGTTTATTGCGATTTATTTTCTTTTTGACAAATAATAATAATAATAAATATAATAATAAACAAATAAGTACACTCAGTGAACAAAAGTCTGGAGTTAGGTAATGATCAATATATATTTGGTATGACTTTAATTGCTTATTGCGCGATAAATAAAGATTTAATATAATTATATATTGATTCGTTAGAAAGCTAAGATTTCGGGCTTTCAAATAAAGATAAAAAAGCTATATACATCTACAAGAAAATGTAAAAATTTTAATAGAAAAATATAATAAAATTGAAATTATTTCTCTATATTAATAAAATTCTTAAGAAATATTTCTCTATTTTATGATAAAATAAAGATAAAAACCTATATTTTAAAATAAAAAGAATTTTTAGAATCAATTTTATAATTAAAGTGATTATTATAATTCTTTATAAAATTTAATAATAAAAATCTCTATAAAATATAGATTTTTATCTTTATTTTATCATAAAAATAAGAAATATTTCTTAAGAAGTTTAAGAATTTTAATATAAAGAAATAGTTTCAATTTTATTATATTTTTCTATTAAAATTTTTACATTTTCTTGTAGAGGTGTATAGCTTTTTTATCTTTATTTGAAAGCCCGAAATCTTAAAGTCACAAATATATATCGATCATTGCCCGATTCCAGACTTTTGTTCACCGAGTGTACAAATATATTTAATTGACTTTAATTGTCATTATTGACTTTATTATTACCTTTATTGTCATTTTGTTCTAAAGATATTTAAGGGTCGGTATCAGATCAGGAATCACATGATCCGACACTTTTTTCTTATAAATCGTAAATTAACATTGACAATTAATAATTACCAATAGGGGATATATGTATGAGTTGTAGCGAGCCTTATTGAGGAGGTTAGTAATAGTAAAGGAGTTGCTGCGCAATAAGACGTATCGGTATATACGATAGAAAAGATTTAAAAGTTTCTTAAATTATAACCTGATACAATTTATAAAAAAAAAATAGATTTGTGGTTATAGATAATACTTTGGTTTTCTACTCGATTGTGTAAGCAAAGGCTCTTCAATCCTTCGTTCTCCCTCCCCCCTTTTTTTTTTAGAAACTCTGCAATATAAAATATATAAATTCCTGCAAATACGGCGCCTGTCGTGTTTTATCAAAATGGAGAATATTTCTGAATCAACACGTAAAAATTCTAATGATAGCAATTTTCCTTCGCCTTCTAGCAAAGAACCATATAATCCAAAAGCTTATAAACCATCTCATTCCCTCGCACCTCAAGATAATCCTGGTGAATCAACGAGTTCCAAAATAATAGGATCTAAAAATAATGACTACATAAGAACATCGGTGGATGATGATGACGATAATAATGATCATAGTCAAAGTAATAATAAAAATTTAGATGAGGATTTGGAGATTGGTGAAGGAGGAAATAAAAAAGGAGGCTCCGTTGAAACAACGCCATTACCAATGTTCCCGCTGTTTGTGTTGAGTATGGTGATTTTGAGCGAACCCATGTGTTCGACTATTATATTACCATTCGTGTATTTTATGGTAAATGGAAATAATTGTCGATTTACTGGCTTATTGATCTATCATTTATATATTCACTATTATTATTGATTTTATTACTTATTAGGTTCGAGATTTTCATTTAACCGACAATGACAAAGAGATCGGTTTTTATGCTGGTCTAATAGGTAAAAGAAAATTTACTTGACGCTTTTTATTATTATGTTTTTTCTTATCTTTATACCATTCTACATTCGCGCATATAATATATATATATTTCGTATAGCTTCATCTTTTTTCTTTGCTCAATTCTGTTGTGCAATTTTCTGGGGTTACATGTCTGATAAATTTGGTCGACGTCCAATTTTGCTGCTCGGATTGCTGGGTAACATTATAACTTGTGTATCATTTGGAACAAGTAAAACTTTATGGTGGGCACCCCTCTCCTAATATATTATATCATTATTAACAACAATTATAACAAAATCTTTTTAATCTATTTTTATAATCAATGCGTCTGAATTGATTAATTTTAGGTGGGCTATAGGCTCCAGAAGTCTTAATGGTGCTTTAAACGTAAGTATATATAATTTTGAAATAAAGGCGAATTTTACGAATATATTTATTGAGTTATGTAATTGGAATTTTAAAAATAGGGAAATGTTGGGGTGGCAAAAAGTATGCTTGGTGAGATAACAGATTCTACAAATAAAGCAAGTGCTTTTTCACTGTTTGGCTTAACTTGGGGTCTTGGCTGTATAAGTATGTATCTATCCTCTTATGAAGAAATTTGTTATACCCATTAATTAATATTATTTTTTTTATTTGATGATGATATTTATAAATATAAAGTCGGTAAGCTATCATGTCTCGTGATTATTATATTAGGATACTATCGAATCGTAATATTTTCAATCTTTAACTTTGCTTTATAATTTATTGTGCATTCAGGACCAACCATTGGTGGTTATTTGTCGCATCCTGCTGATCATTTTCCAAGTATTTTTGGCAATGAGTTTTGGAGATATTATCCATATTTGTTGCCGTGTCTTGTTGCATCATCAGTTTCAGTTACTGGACTTGTAGTTGGATATTTCATGTTACTTGAATCGCATATTCCTAATCAGAAATCTGAACACAAGCCTGAGAGTGAACCGTTACTTAATAAGAAACATAATAATCGTTCGGGTGATGTTGAGTCTTCTTCGTCGTCATATGGCACTATTAATCCTCTCAGTGGTAAAATAGACGGGCGACAGGATCATAATGAAACAGACTGTGATAATCTTATGAATAAATCTATTGTAGGGAAATGTAGTGGAGAAACGTGTATCACTGACAATAATTCAACATTAAGCAAGAAAAGTGACGATAGTTCCATAGTAACACCAACGGATAATCGGAAATTTCGTCGTATTTTACGCGACATATCTCCTGCTATTCCACCTCTCATCTCCTATGGGATGTTGGCTTTTTTGATAATCTTTGACGAAGTATATACGATATTCGCAGTAACTCAAGTTTCCGATGGTGGTCTTGGCTATCGAGCTCAGGATCTTGCACTCAGTTTAGCAATTATGGGTTTCCTTACTTTAATCTGTCAATTTGTAATTTACCCGCCACTCGTTAGAAGAGTTGATCCCATGCAAATGTTTCATATCGCGTGGTTTCTTTGTATTCCTGTTTACATGACGTTTCCATTAATAAACACCCTAAAACGGTCACTCAATTGTTATTTCGAATCTGAGAAAGGTGTTATCGTGTGCCCTGATCAGGGAGATTTAACGAGTGAACGTATAGTTTGGTGTGTATTACTGGGAACATTGGCTCTTCGTTTCCTTTCGAATGTTATCTTATTTACAAGTATTACGATTGCGGTATGTAGATATTGTTAATTAATTATTGGGGAAATGCTTCTATATGTATTTATGCGTCTAATGAAATTTTTCTAATTCGACACATAGATTTCAAATACTGTTTCACGAGAAGTTCTTGGCACCGTAAATGGAATAGGACAAACAACAGCATCCCTTGCTCGTGCTATTGGACCCGCGTTAGGAGGAATTCTTTGGGCTTGGTCTTTAAACAATAATCTCAAATTCCCATTTGATCGACATTTTGTCTTCATTGTGATGAGTATAATAGCGTTTATTGGATGGCTACAGAGTTATAAGATAGCACGCGGGTTGTTCAAATTTTAAATCATTTCTCTTGCATGTTAATAATATTTTATTTATAATGGAGGTGATTTCCCTTTATTATGAGGCTTACCACCTTCACCTTCCCCCACCCCACCTGACATAAAATATTGGGGATTATAACCTGATATCCGCTGTGACTCCCTCCCCAAAAAATCAGGTGATAAGAACACTTCGTTAAGCAAAATTCTCTTGTAAATTAAAATTAGTTTAATTTAATTTAATTTAAAACTTTTCTGCTTGAAAAATTACGAAAACTTGTAAATCAGCTCCTAATAATTTATTTACATGATTGCTAACTAATAACATGAAAGATGCAATCAATACCTCCAGACAACTATGAATGAGTAAATTAAAGATTCATTATAACAAACTTGTCAACTTCAGATTGACTTTTCGTCACGGATAATTTATATATATATATATATAAAAGTAACGGACGTATAATCTTCAACGCTCGCGTTGTCGTGCTCCTGCGAACAAATGATAGTAAGGTAAGATACATGAATCATTGACAAGGATATCATTAAATTCTTTTGCGAACATGAAGGATCAGAACTGCTAGAAATTTTGAGTTAACACGTCAGCTAAATTCCCGGACGTTGCAACTCGTGCCCCCTACACCTTAGCATCCGACGGTCGACGAAAGCATTGCCCGCACTATGCCAGCGTCTAACCTAGCGAATGTCAGGGCACCAACATAACCTTATGTGAAATCATCGGTTTCGTTAATCGTTTACGAGTGCCGAACGGTCGACGACTAGATTGCATAAAGGCATTGCCCCTGTGTCGAAACTAGCGAAAATGTCCGGACGGACCTGTGTTATGATTAACTACACCAGTGATAATATAGCAGTATCATCATCTCCGATAGAAGTAAATAACTATCGTTTTTGCTCACCCGGGACATCAACGAAAACCGCTTACAACCGCATTCTATCCTTGGTGTTTACAAAATTCTATGGCGGGGTGGAGCTTATCGTTCATTATCGTTATACCATTTCGGGAATATTTTGGGGGATGACTTTACGAGAGGTAAAAAGTTATTCGCAGAAGGAGGTAAAAAAAAAGGTAAAAGAGTTATTCGCAGAAAGAGGTGAAAAAAGGTGAAAAAGAGTTATTTGCAGAAGGAGGTGAAAAAAGGTGAAAAAGAGTTATTCGCAGAAAGAGGTGAAAAAAGGTAAAAAAGAGTTATTCGCAGAAAGAGGTGAAAAAAGGTGGGATGGGGGGGGGTATATGAATGTTTTTGCATAGACACTATCTCACGATACGTGTGAATATTACCGATCATTTTATCATGACTACGTGATACGCGCTAGATACGCGCGTACAAATGTACTTGAGGCAATTTTATATAATCTTGATCACAACTCTAAGCTTAAAATCAATCTTTCCCCCAATTTGGACTAGAGTCATGGTAAGGATAAGGTATTGGGTGAGAAAACAAAATTATATGTAAAATTGCCTTCCCGATATTTTTAATTAATAGTCCAAAACAGATTTATGTATTAGGTTTCTCGTAATATCACTTTTTTCATCTCTTTGAATCGGATTTGTTTTGCCGGGCTGATAAAAAATTTACGTATCCTTATTGGTTTGTATTTCGGACTGATTATTCAAGTACATTTATACGCGCGTATCTAGCGCGTATCACGTAGTCATGATAAAATGATCGGTAATATTCACACGTATCGTGAGATAGTGTCTATGCAAAAACATTCATATACCCCCCCCCATCCCACCTTTTTTCACCTCTTTCTGCGAATAACTCTTTTTTACCTTTTTTCACCTCTTTCTGCGAATAACTCTTTTTCACCTTTTTTCACCTCCTTCTGCAAATAACTCTTTTTCACCTTTTTTCACCTCTTTCTGCGAATAACTCTTTTACCTTTTTTTTTACCTCCTTCTGCGAATAACTTTTTACCTCTCGTAAAGTCATCCCCCAAAATATTCCCGAAATGGTATAACGATAATGAACGATAAGCTCCACCCCGCCATAGAATTTTGTAAACACCAAGGATAGAATGCGGTTGTAAGCGGTTTTCGTTGATGTCCCGGGTGAGCAAAAACGATAGTTATTTACTTCTATCGGAGATGATGATACTGCTATATTATCACTGGTGTAGTTAATCATAACACAGGTCCGTCCGGACATTTTCGCTAGTTTCGACACAGGGGCAATGCCTTTATGCAATCTAGTCGTCGACCGTTCGGCACTCGTAAACGATTAACGAAACCGATGATTTCACATAAGGTTATGTTGGTGCCCTGACATTCGCTAGGTTAGACGCTGGCATAGTGCGGGCAATGCTTTCGTCGACCGTCGGATGCTAAGGTGTAGGGGGCACGAGTTGCAACGTCCGGGAATTTAGCTGACGTGTTAACTCAAAATTTCTAGCAGTTCTGATCCTTCATGTTCGCAAAAGAATTTAATGATATCCTTGTCAATGATTCATGTATCTTACCTTACTATCATTTGTTCGCAGGAGCACGACAACGCGAGCGTTGAAGATTATACGTCCGTTACTTTTATATATATATATATATAAATTATCCGTGACGAAAAGTCAATCTGAAGTTGACAAGTTTGTTATAATGAATCTTTAATTTACTCATTCATAGTTGTCTGGAGGTATTGATTGCATCTTTCATGTTATTAGTTAGCAATCATGTAAATAAATTATTAGGAGCTGATTTACAAGTTTTCGTAATTTTTCAAGCAGAAAAGTTTTAAATTAAATTAAATTAAACTAATTTTAATTTACAAGAGAATTTTGCTTAACGAAGTGTTCTTATCACCTGATTTTTTGGGGAGGGAGTCACAGCGGATATCAGGTTATAATCCCCAATATTTTATGTCAGGTGGGGTGGGGGAAGGTGAAGGTGGTAAGCCTCATAATAAAGGGAAATCACCTCCATTATAAATAAAATATTATTAACATGCAAGAGAAATGATTTAAAATTTGAACAACCCGCGTGCTATCTTATAACTCTGTAGCCATCCAATAAACGCTATTATACTCATCACAATGAAGACAAAATGTCGATCAAATGGGAATTTGAGATTATTGTTTAAAGACCAAGCCCAAAGAATTCCTCCTAACGCGGGTCCAATAGCACGAGCAAGGGATGCTGTTGTTTGTCCTATTCCATTTACGGTGCCAAGAACTTCTCGTGAAACAGTATTTGAAATCTATGTGTCGAATTAGAAAAATTTCATTAGACGCATAAATACATATAGAAGCATTTCCCCAATAATTAATTAACAATATCTACATACCGCAATCGTAATACTTGTAAATAAGATAACATTCGAAAGGAAACGAAGAGCCAATGTTCCCAGTAATACACACCAAACTATACGTTCACTCGTTAAATCTCCCTGATCAGGGCACACGATAACACCTTTCTCAGATTCGAAATAACAATTGAGTGACCGTTTTAGGGTGTTTATTAATGGAAACGTCATGTAAACAGGAATACAAAGAAACCACGCGATATGAAACATTTGCATGGGATCAACTCTTCTAACGAGTGGCGGGTAAATTACAAATTGACAGATTAAAGTAAGGAAACCCATAATTGCTAAACTGAGTGCAAGATCCTGAGCTCGATAGCCAAGACCACCATCGGAAACTTGAGTTACTGCGAATATCGTATATACTTCGTCAAAGATTATCAAAAAAGCCAACATCCCATAGGAGATGAGAGGTGGAATAGCAGGAGATATGTCGCGTAAAATACGACGAAATTTCCGATTATCCGTTGGTGTTACTATGGAACTATCGTCACTTTTCTTGCTTAATGTTGAATTATTGTCAGTGATACACGTTTCTCCACTACATTTCCCTACAATAGATTTATTCATAAGATTATCACAGTCTGTTTCATTATGATCCTGTCGCCCGTCTATTTTACCACTGAGAGGATTAATAGTGCCATATGACGACGAAGAAGACTCAACATCACCCGAACGATTATTATGTTTCTTATTAAGTAACGGTTCACTCTCAGGCTTGTGTTCAGATTTCTGATTAGGAATATGCGATTCAAGTAACATGAAATATCCAACTACAAGTCCAGTAACTGAAACTGATGATGCAACAAGACACGGCAACAAATATGGATAATATCTCCAAAACTCATTGCCAAAAATACTTGGAAAATGATCAGCAGGATGCGACAAATAACCACCAATGGTTGGTCCTGAATGCACAATAAATTATAAAGCAAAGTTAAAGATTGAAAATATTACGATTCGATAGTATCCTAATATAATAATCACGAGACATGATAGCTTACCGACTTTATATTTATAAATATCATCATCAAATAAAAAAAATAATATTAATTAATGGGTATAACAAATTTCTTCATAAGAGGATAGATACATACTTATACAGCCAAGACCCCAAGTTAAGCCAAACAGTGAAAAAGCACTTGCTTTATTTGTAGAATCTGTTATCTCACCAAGCATACTTTTTGCCACCCCAACATTTCCCTATTTTTAAAATTCCAATTACATAACTCAATAAATATATTCGTAAAATTCGCCTTTATTTCAAAATTATATATACTTACGTTTAAAGCACCATTAAGACTTCTGGAGCCTATAGCCCACCTAAAATTAATCAATTCAGACGCATTGATTATAAAAATAGATTAAAAAGATTTTGTTATAATTGTTGTTAATAATGATATAATATATTAGGAGAGGGGTGCCCACCATAAAGTTTTACTTGTTCCAAATGATACACAAGTTATAATGTTACCCAGCAATCCGAGCAGCAAAATTGGACGTCGACCAAATTTATCAGACATGTAACCCCAGAAAATTGCACAACAGAATTGAGCAAAGAAAAAAGATGAAGCTATACGAAATATATATATATTATATGCGCGAATGTAGAATGGTATAAAGATAAGAAAAAACATAATAATAAAAAGCGTCAAGTAAATTTTCTTTTACCTATTAGACCAGCATAAAAACCGATCTCTTTGTCATTGTCGGTTAAATGAAAATCTCGAACCTAATAAGTAATAAAATCAATAATAATAGTGAATATATAAATGATAGATCAATAAGCCAGTAAATCGACAATTATTTCCATTTACCATAAAATACACGAATGGTAATATAATAGTCGAACACATGGGTTCGCTCAAAATCACCATACTCAACACAAACAGCGGGAACATTGGTAATGGCGTTGTTTCAACGGAGCCTCCTTTTTTATTTCCTCCTTCACCAATCTCCAAATCCTCATCTAAATTTTTATTATTACTTTGACTATGATCATTATTATCGTCATCATCATCCACCGATGTTCTTATGTAGTCATTATTTTTAGATCCTATTATTTTGGAACTCGTTGATTCACCAGGATTATCTTGAGGTGCGAGGGAATGAGATGGTTTATAAGCTTTTGGATTATATGGTTCTTTGCTAGAAGGCGAAGGAAAATTGCTATCATTAGAATTTTTACGTGTTGATTCAGAAATATTCTCCATTTTGATAAAACACGACAGGCGCCGTATTTGCAGGAATTTATATATTTTATATTGCAGAGTTTCTAAAAAAAAAAGGGGGGAGGGAGAACGAAGGATTGAAGAGCCTTTGCTTACACAATCGAGTAGAAAACCAAAGTATTATCTATAACCACAAATCTATTTTTTTTTTATAAATTGTATCAGGTTATAATTTAAGAAACTTTTAAATCTTTTCTATCGTATATACCGATACGTCTTATTGCGCAGCAACTCCTTTACTATTACTAACCTCCTCAATAAGGCTCGCTACAACTCATACATATATCCCCTATTGGTAATTATTAATTGTCAATGTTAATTTACGATTTATAAGAAAAAAGTGTCGGATCATGTGATTCCTGATCTGATACCGACCCTTAAATATCTTTAGAACAAAATGACAATAAAGGTAATAATAAAGTCAATAATGACAATTAAAGTCAATTAAATATATTTGTACACTCGGTGAACAAAAGTCTGGAATCGGGCAATGATCGATATATATTTGTGACTTTAAGATTTCGGGCTTTCAAATAAAGATAAAAAAGCTATACACCTCTACAAGAAAATGTAAAAATTTTAATAGAAAAATATAATAAAATTGAAACTATTTCTTTATATTAAAATTCTTAAACTTCTTAAGAAATATTTCTTATTTTTATGATAAAATAAAGATAAAAATCTATATTTTATAGAGATTTTTATTATTAAATTTTATAAAGAATTATAATAATCACTTTAATTATAAAATTGATTCTAAAAATTCTTTTTATTTTAAAATATAGGTTTTTATCTTTATTTTATCATAAAATAGAGAAATATTTCTTAAGAATTTTATTAATATAGAGAAATAATTTCAATTTTATTATATTTTTCTATTAAAATTTTTACATTTTCTTGTAGATGTATATAGCTTTTTTATCTTTATTTGAAAGCCCGAAATCTTAGCTTTCTAACGAATCAATATATAATTATATTAAATCTTTATTTATCGCGCAATAAGCAATTAAAGTCATACCAAATATATATTGATCATTACCTAACTCCAGACTTTTGTTCACTGAGTGTACTTATTTGTTTATTATTATATTTATTATTATTATTATTTGTCAAAAAGAAAATAAATCGCAATAAACTAGAATTAACACAATCAAAAGGTGATTTTGCTGTTTATTAATTTTTGAGTATTCTGCTATTTATAAGCTTGCAAAGTCTTTTCACATTCACAAATGATCTTTATGAAGAGTTTCATCAAGATATTAAAATTTGTTACAAAGTTATCATTATTTATTTTTTTTTGTATAACTCTAATACTTTTTCAAACTTTTTCTTATATTGTTACTATTTTTAGTTCTTATATATGAGAAAATTTAGAAATGATTAATAGTAACTATATTCACAGCAAATTTTAAATCAGAAAGATATAATTGATAATAATGGATAGTTGATAATAAAAAATTAACAAGAATATAGATATGAAATAAATATTAAATATATTTAAGTGATAATAAAATAATACTAAGACTAAGTATATACTATAAATTAAAGTTAAAAGTATATTATAAAAGATAAAAAATGATGTAATGATAATTGAAAATGAACAAAAGTAAAACAAAGATAAACAAAAAGAAGACAAAGAAAAATAATAAAAAAACAAAAAAATAAAACAAACAAAAATAAAACAAACAAAAAAAACAAAAATAAAAAGACAAGACAAAAATTAAAATCAGGACATAATCTTCTTAGTTTATTTCAAGTCAATTTCATATTTTATATATATAGTGAATTTAAGTTACGCTGATTTATATTATTTATATAAATTATAAAGAGAAATTAATAAAAATATAAATCTATAACATGTTGAAATATAATAATTATTATATAATATTAGAAAGATATTTGTGTAAAATCTATATGTCACTAATTAAATTGATATAACAAGAGATAAAATTAAAGTACCAATAAGATTTAGAATATAAATTAATATAAAATTAATTGATATAATTAAATAATAATAAAATATAGATTAAAATAATATAATAAAATAAAAAATAATTGAATAAAAATATGAATTATTACTATTGGATAAAAATAATATTACTATATTTTTGATAAGAAATACATGTTGAAAAATTAATAAAAGATAAATTGTAAGAATACTTTCTTATATGAGTAATATTAAGATAAATTTATTAATTATTATAAATAAATTATATCAATTGAGATAGTTTTCAGTTTTAATTTTAATAAAGCTTATTTTTTATTTATTAAATAATGAAAAGATATAGTACAGACAAAGACATTTAAATATATAATTGATATTTAACAAATTACAAATAAATTAATAATAAAATAGAGAATAATTGGTTCTAAATTATTAATTTTAAAGATGACACATTTTCAAGTTATGCTATATTTAATTAAATATATATAAAATATAAATAATAATAAAAGATTAATACAAAATTAAAAATAATGAATATAAAATAAAAAAATAAATAAAAATAAAAGAAATTAAAACAAAGTGTATCTAAATTAATAATGTGATCTATATTTTACATTTAATCTATTTGGCAAAATATTAAGAAGTATTAATGTAGATTTGTATTAATTTCTTATATGTTATACAAAAAATAATAAATATAACACTGAAAATGATGAATATGATACAAGAGTATATTAAAAATTGTTACAATTACTCTCTCTCTCTTAAAAAATAATATTCAAATTGTATTAAGAATACGCTTTTTCAAAAGCTTTAACTTTTTTTATTGCATTTTTGATATTATTCAAAGATTTTCAAGTAGAATTATATAAAAAATATCCAGCTTATTTTATAAGATATTGTAGTTATTTTCTTACTATACACTTATCTAGAATATTTTAAAGATGGTTTCCTAAATTATTTTTAGAAAAAATAATATTTCAGCAAATAATTTAGTTTTGTTATGTTGCTTATATTAATTAATACTTAAAAATCATCTAGAAATGCTTGTTTTAATTTGTAGAATTCAAATAATTTCAGAAAACAATTTTGACTACTAATAAAATAAGTTAAAATAATTTTGAATTTAATTTTAGCAAGTTAATTTTGATAAATTATTTAATTAGATGATATTATTTTGACAATCATTTTTAGAATAATTTTAACTTTATATTCTTTATTATCATTTAATATAATAATAGCTAGTGCTAATGTTGGTCTATCAAATTTATCATCTTCATTATATAACTTTAATAGTGAAATATGAAAAACTAGATGTATTTTTATGTTGTTTGAAAGTTCTAATTTGTATACAATTGATAAAATTTTATTAATTATATTGAATGATCCAATATATTTAGTATTTAACTTTCTTGTTGATTATTATTTATTAATAAATATATTAATAAATATATTAATAAAGCAAGTTGATAAAAGAACTTTTTGATCAATTTTAAATTTTTCAAATTTGCAATATTGATTTGCATATTTTTGTTATCTATTTTGAGCTTTTATTAATACATTTTTTGCTATTTTTATTATAGTATTCCGGTATTTCAAGAATTCTTGAGAGACTGTTACTTTATTATTAGTGTTAATAATGATGAATATATAAGATAATTGTTTATAATTTAATTCAATAAAATATGTTGAGTGGATGCTTGTTTATTATTATAAGCAAATTCTGCAGTAGCTAGACAGTCATCCCAGTTATTTTGTTTGTATGCAATAAAAATTCTAAGTATTTCTTTTAAAGTTCTATTTAATTTTTCAATTTGATTATTAGTTTATGAATGAAAAGTTGTTGATATAATCAATTTAGTACCCAATTAATTAAATAATGACTAGTGTTCCTATGAACCGAACTGAACCGGACTTTTGCCCAAGTTCGAGTTCGGTTCGAAATTCGAACCGAACTCGAACCGGACTTTGGCTTGAGTTCAAGAAAGGTTCGAAGTTCGA